TGGGGGCCCGAGAGCGTCCCACCCTCGAATTAAAATGGGTCTTACTACGCCTTGATGTACTGGCCTAACTCCTTGACCCGAATAGCCAAACAAACCGCACCCTGTAGGTATGCCGTCTGTGGAGCAGCTACTGATCGGAAGCGGAGGCGTGCTTGGTTTGGATTGGCATGGCTTGGATTCAGTGGAGCCAGGGGGTTGCAGGGGCCGCGACCCCCGAAGAACACCTGGCGATGCAGGACTTGCATAAATTGCGAAACAACTAACAGACGCCTTGAATGCCCCTTGAATGCCCACCCTTCCTGCCTTGGGGGGCTGCAGCGTTCCCTTTCGTCATTTATTCATTTCTCTTGTTCTTTGTTGCTTTCGTTTTTTGTTTCTAAAGGACCAAAAGAACTAACTAACAATGTGCAACAAGAAAAGGCGAACCGTCTGAAACTGCAAACCGAACTGCACGACCCGTTAAACGGAACCGCGCAAAGCGCACAAACCAACAAACACCACTCAGAGAGATGCTTGAAAACACAGTGGCAGGACTATCATGACGAAGGGCATGCAAACTTGCAGCAGGACAGGGTTCAGAGTTCAGTTCATGGGTTGAAAATCTTAATGACCACAGAAGTTGAGTAAGTCTATAAGGTTTATATCTTGTGCAGTTTGGACCGGATGCGGGCTTTGACGACGGCTTCATTCCGGAAACGACGCATGAAAGCTAAGTTTGCAGACCTCAGGAACAAGATGTGCAATCAACTGATCCAGACTGGAAGCTAAGCGTGCTTCGAAGGCCACTATGCGCAGCTCCCGTCCCAGTTTTGAGACATGGATGTGATGTGGATGGATGTTCAGCGTGGCTTTATCGCGCTGTTGCCTCTGGCCCATGCAACGCCCGAGTCCAACTGCCACCCTTCAATTTCACGTACGTCAACAAAACAACCTTGCCTGCATGTACGTTTATGCTGCCTTTTGCCGGATCTATTGATGTTCGAGCCATTTATGACCATCAAAAGGCCCGACGTCCAAGTCAAAAAAACTGCCCCCCTTTGTCGAAAAGCGAGATCTCAGGCATTGTCCCCAAGGATTTTGGAGGGATCTCAAGGGGGTTTGGAACCAACAAGCACTGTCCCCACTCATTGACAACGAAATCTGAATCTTCCGATTGACAATTATCGGTTCTATTGAGCTGGCACCTGCTCATGACTGGACCCGGTGTTCTGAAGGAGACACTAGGTTGTCCATTCCATGATGAGGAAGTTGCAGCTCAAGCACCGATACATGTTGCAGAACTGCCATCAAAATTTTGTCAGGGCAAATTCGTACATGCAAAGGTGAGTGCGAATATGACCTGCACAGTGGCACGTCAGGTCCAACAGACCCAACAGAGGTGCAGCGTTGCAGGTTTGGACTTCAACTACTACAACCTGCTGTGAAGTCATGTGCAGCCACAGATCGGTCAGTAAGGAAAGGCAGTAAAGCCAATATACGTGGTAGACGCCGAATCCCAACGCTTCATGCATTGTCGTTTTATGTTGCTGCTCCAGATGTCTGCATTGGAGTTTTAGCCGGAAGACCGACGCAAAAAATATCAAAAACTCACCCTGAAGTGGGAGACATGTCTGAAAATGCAGCCAACATGCAAACGCAGGGATCCTTCAAGATCCTCCAGCTGGCACACACGAACTGGCCGACTAGCCTACCATACAGCCTCTGACGTGACGCTTCCTCCAAGAGACCAACGAAAGTGAGCTTGTGATAGTTCTGCACCGCCTTGTGCAGAGCCAACGGTTGCGATAAGCCATCTTGAAATGTAAACAGCTAGCGAAATGGGGATCCCCACCCGCACAAGAGTTGCAGTGCGATTCCTGCAATGCCATTCACGGCGAAGTCCATGCATGGTTCAGACGCACAGATTCCGCTCGTCCTGAACATGGCCCGCATCCTTGCATTGTCGGACTCTTGCCTGTTCATCAACCCAGGTGGTGAGGCCCAGACACAGCCCGTCTCCGCCTCGTGGAGCCAGCACCGACGTGCACCGAAAGACCGCTCAGCCAGGCAGTGCCAGCCATGCCATCCTGAAAAATATCCACCAGCGCTGTTCAACTTGCGATAAAGAGCGTCACAATGGCACGAGCCTGCCACACCATCAATGTGTCCAGCAGCGCAGCCGGATCATAGAGGTACCTCCCACGATGTGAAGAGACCCTGTGCCACATTTCGGATCAAAGAGCACTGGACCGGATTCAGCCGGCGAATTCTCAACCGAGCTGTCCAGTCTAACCGTCTGGCCTGGGGGAAAGCGACGTCCAGGTTGCAGAAACAACGTGGTTGCAGACGAAATCCAGCTGGAAACACGGCTGGAAGGGGACGCCGTCAGGGTATGTGCATCGGTGACACTGAATCTGTTCGCGGTACCGTCTTCTCGATATTGCAGCCGAGCGGCAAAGTGAAAGTGTGACCTGTGTACGCCATCACTCATCATCAATGAAAGGCTGTTGTTCATCCTGTTTGTGGTGGGTTTACACTTGCAAGTGCACACCCGACAAGAATGCCTTGCACCTGCATGCCTGCAGGAACTGTTCCCTCATGTTCCTGGATATACTTCGCCAAGCCCCGATCGGATAGCAAGCTAAGCTGCGAACAAATAGCGCTGGAGCGGATTTCGGAAAATCGCAAAACCTCCCAGCGGCGAATAAAGTAGGTCTTCAGCGGTACTGCTACTGCTGCCGCCGCTGCTG